CTTGATAACTACTTTTGCGTTTTTTTTTATATAACAAGTGCAATTTAAAAAAAGGACGTTGGTTTTTTGAAATGTTGTTGCTAACGGTCTCCCGCATTTTGTTTCATAAGAAATTCATGCTTATATAGAAAAATCCGTCACTAAAAAAAAAAAAATTCTCTGAAATCAACGGGATTTTTTTAGCCGTTTGAAACTTGCACTTCATTAGACTAAAATTGCATGCCCAAAAATGTTCTAAAGAATCAGATCAAAAAATTGAAATTTTGATGAAAATTTGTGGAATTTTCCTAAAAATTATTTATAAAGATAAGGGTATCAAATATAAGAAAAAATTCTGTAGAATTAGAACAGAATAAATTTTTTGGTGCATAAGGACAAATGGGTATGGAAAAGTCCTTTAAAAATTTTGTCCTTAAAAATCCTTGAAAATTTGCAATATTTATTTTTGAAAAAATTATTGTTTTAATTCATACCAGAGTTGTGAAAAATGCATAAAATTTTTTAATGCATAGCATTTTAATGTAAATGCAAAAAAAAACCAATGCATTAGTTTTTGATATGTAATGTAAATGAAAGCTTCAATGCATTAATTTCGAAGAAATAAGGTTAATGATTTTTTTTTTGTATTAACATTAAAATGTTTAAATGATTGCTATTGCAATAATTTATTGCATTAAAAACCCACTAACTCATTTTATTTTGAAGTAAAAATTCTTTGCTGACGTTGAGGGTAGCATTTTAAGGTCAAAAAAGATAGTGACGAACGTTAAGGCTGGCTTTCACTATGTCAAGTTCAATTGCATTTGTCGTTAAATAGGTAACAACACAGTAGGTCCTCAGTCGTGTACATGCGCATGTTCTGAAATTTTTTAGTTTTTGTGGTACAGTGTTATTCATAGTTTTGAAATACATGTATTTCATGAAAGCAAAAAATAAAAATAGTTGACATCACTTTCTTTTTTAAACGCCTAGGATATCACTGACCATTATAAGGGACCCTGAAAGACCGGAAGGCTCAAAGCTTTACAAATTTGTTGATGTGATTTTGAAATGAACGATAGAAAATTAGCCGGTATACATATTTTAAAATTTTTAGAATCAGTGGTGGAAATTTTATACTGAAAGGGTTAAGAAACCTTTAGTTTAAAAGTGTGATACTAAATGCCTTTCGCCATAAACGGCGCCAATTTTCAGGTTTATCAAGCCTCTAGAAGTACAAGATTAATTGTTGCCTTTCACGAAGTTCTTTAAATAAATCTTCACCTAAATACTGAAGTATATTTACGAATATCACGTTTTATTATATGCTTAAATTTAATTTCTTAATTTTAGTAAGTATTTCTTTACTGCTTACACCCGAATGTCGGGGGTTTCTACTAGTTTTAATAAATTGTCAGGCTAATTTCTTATAAAATTTACGTTTAGGTTTTTGCATCTTAAGCATACATCGATCATTTTATTTTAGAAAATCAATGTGAAATAATTGCAGAAACGATTAACCGATTTGCTGTGCAACCAATATGTCTGATTTTTAAATAATTTTTGTAAACAAATCGGCAAGTACATATCGTTCCCCGCATGCCAATGCCAATGAAGTTTGAATTTTTTTACGAGACTTAACTGTGCATTCATGTAATTGACATTGTGAAATATGTGGTTTCTGTGTACGCATGGTATTCCGGGTTTTGGTATAACATAGGACATCCAAAGGTTAATCAAGTCAACCCAACCACTCAAAATTGATAAATTTGCACATTCATGCTTCTGGCATAAGGGCGACGAAATGTATTTACTTCACATTTATTAATTTTTTATACGCCTGTCCTACATATCTTCGTAGTAAGAAAATAGTAGTCATATTTCGATTTCCTGTTAATATTCCTCTATTTGCATGAAAACAAGTAAAACAACTAAGAAAGTCTAAGTTCGGGCGGAGTCGAACATTAAATACCCGGCGCTAGTATTAAATAAATGTTTTTTCACCTTTCCGAAGGCTACCGCTACATGGTAAGCCGGCGTGTATCAATTTTGAGTAAATTTGCGTCCTTAAATTTCGAAATATCGCAGTTTCAAGCATTTCTGAAATTTACCGTTATATGAAAAGCGGCCGTAATTTTAGTCCGATTTCAATAATTCTCAACATTTTGCTTTTATGTGGCAAGCACAATAAAAATACCGAGTTTGGTACAAATTGGTAGAACTGTTACCGATATACATATATGTGATTATAAGTGGGCGGTGCCACGCCCATTTTCCAAAATATTACCATAAACGTATTTCTTGGTAAAGAATTGTTGCAAGCATCAATTTTTAATAAATTAGCTTTAATATTTACTGATTTATCGAAGATTTTGTATTTCTCTAAATTATCGTTATATGGGATGTGGGCGTGGTTATTGTCCAATTTTTTAAATTTTCGGCCATTTAGTATACTGTACCCAGGCCAACAACTGCCAAGTTTGGAAGAAATTGCTGCAGCTGTTACCAAGATACACACATGTAACCATAAGTGGGCGTGGCTACGCCCATTTTCCAAAAATTTATAGTATTATTTTTCGTGTAAAAAATGTTGTAAATATCAATTTTGAGTGAATAATCGTCAGTAGTTACTAAAATATCGCAGTTTTCGTATTTCCGAAAATTACCGTTATATGGGATATGGGCGTGGTTATTGTCCGATTTTTTAAATTTTCAGCCATTTAGTATGCTGTATCAAAGCCAACAACTTTGCCAAGTTTGGAAGAAATTGGTGCAGCGGTTACCAAGATATACACATGTAA